CACAAATGACAGTGGTTAAAATCATATTCAGATTATCTCCCAGTTTGTCAGTTCACGCTGTTTGACCTCTCTATCATACACTATCTTAAATGACTCTCACAATTATCGGCTCATAACAATTGCTACTTATTCAACCACAAATGTTTTTCAGCTACATGTTAAACTTAAAAGTCCAATATGTATTGACATTTGAAGACAAAAAATAGAAAAGAACATCATTTTCATGAAAATTACACCAAGACCAAAAGCAAAGTGGTATGCACATGTCTTGAGCCTTTGTATCAGATTTAACAAAACCTTAGGTAGAAAGATAGTAAGGTCAAGTAAAAGACAAAAAGAAGATTGCTAATATACTCGCCTATTCTAGATTGGAAGGAGAGTGCCTTTGAAGACTGGCTTTGATCATTGATGCGTAGCGTACCACGGCCTTTCTCAAGCCATGAATAACTATCTGGTTCAAACAGAAATAATTTACACTGTGCCTGAAGAGAGAAAAGAATACTTCAATTGGAGCGTCTTCTCCAAACATGTTAAGCTTTTCTGTTGAACAGTCTGATGCTTTTTGTTTGAAAGTTACACATACGATGTACCACACAGTAAGAAGTATTCTAGTGGTGTGGTGCAATCCAAACTTAGGTGGCTCCATAAGCTCAATGGTACAGTAATAAAGCCATAAATCCAATCCTCACTGTACTAGATACACATCAATTTTTCATTATGTGATTGTCAAAATGTCACATTGCAGTCCACTGCATTGACAAATTTTTTTGACACAGTTTTAACTTTAAAGTCAACTTTTGTCACATTTCACAGAATAAACACTTCATAATTTGTCCATACCGCACCAAAAAAAAAATGTTTATCAAAACATGTAGCAAGTGTGAAATTATTTTTAATTGGCATTCTAGAAAAACATGTCATGACAGAAATACCCAGCAGTGTATGCTTTGAAAGTATGATTATATCTTAGGGACGACGTCAAAAGATCGACGTCGGATAAAAAACTTATTTCCTTTAGTTTGGGGGTGGGGGGTTTTAACCTCAAAAAGTTTCCATCCTACAAAAAACGATT